AATTCCCATGTGCCTTTAATTTTGGACAATATCCCTTTTATCTAGCATTTTTAAACAATCTGAAATATTAAGGACAATCTGAAATATTCTAGTGACTGTCACAACTCTTAAAATGGCCATACATTTTATGATTGAATTAGGGATAAAATCCATAAGAATGATTTTTGGCATTGCTGCTTAATTTATGGACAATTTAAGGATCACTTGTGAACATTTTACCTAAATATGGCTAAAAAAGTGCCTGAATTTTAGAGGCGAAAACTGTTGTTTTCCATAATATTTGTGGACAATAATTTTTACTGTGTATAATTTTTCTGTTGATATTGTTTTTTCATATCTTATTCAAAGTGTGTCCATAGAATTTGCAAGACCGTTACAGTGGTCATGCCCTGGTCATTCAAGTTCAAAACAGATAAAACTGAGGGACAAAATTCTTCAATAGGTTTATGAATATTTTCAAAATATTTCCTTGTACCTAAATCTTAGTTTGCTGTATATGTTTGAGTGCAGATTCCAGCCACCCCTACAACGTAACAGTTTTTGTGCAACTGCCCTTAGTTGATTGATAGAAGTTGATTTTAGAAGTGCATAATATAATAAAGCTCAGACTGACTTACTTTGATTATATAATGAGAAAGGTAAACAGTTTAAAAAAGAATCTGATTTTGGCAAGGTGTGGAGGGGTCAGTAGAGAATGTAGTCCACAGAAAAAATTGATTGATGGATTTTGGCAATGTGTGAAGGGGTCAGGAGAGAATGTAGACCACAGAAAAAATTGATTGATGGTGCAGTGGGAGTGACAGGCAAATGATGCTGAAAGAAGATGGGAGAGATGACAATCAATGGAGAAAACTTGAACAAAATATTGAAACTCAGTAGAGTAGACAGAAACTCAGTGGAACTTGAGAGAGCCCCTGGTTGCTCCCCCTTAAATCTGCCATTGGGAAGATGCTGAACTAATAGACATATTTTAACTTTGTCATTGTAACTAGCCTTCACTTGTATTATTCATTTTGTTTGTTTGCTAAGGTAACTTGATTTTTGTTTTGTATTTAGCAAATTAGTAGTAACAAGAAGAAATGGTTGTGTTGCAAAGAAAGTCGCTTCCTTGGTTTTTTGGGTGCTAAACAAAAATGTGTACATAATAACAATAAAAGTTAAGGGTCAACAATAATTCCATCTTTGGTTAATGGCAAAAAAGCAACAATGAATTCTATCTTAGGCATATTACAAATTTTGTTATATTTCCACCCAGCACCTTGTTACTGTCAGGTTTTGTAACTAGAATTTCAAAATATTTGTGATTATCTTTCCTTCAATCAAATTGATCACCAGCTTCATCATCACCATCAAAAGCTTTGTAAATTGCCTAGAAAACAAGTCCAACTTCTCTTTATCTTTTTAGCTTACCGTCCCCCCTTTTTTGATGCACCAATTCCCCAATTTTAAACACCCCATCCCCAATAACTACCCCCTCGGATACGTCCCCAGGCTTTCTTCTTTGAGGGTTTATGGTCATATATTACCACATCAGCTGCAAGCTGCCAGTAACCTACGATCACTGCCAAAATTATTTGGAACACCTAACACTTTGCGTTGTGCTTTCTATTTTTCATTTGTTTTGTTGAATACTACCACTTCCGCCCCTCTTCCCCCCAAAACAATGTTGAAAGTATAGAAAAATCGACGTTGCTAAAACGAGGAACAAGCGGAACAACCTAGTAACAAGCGGAACAACCCAGTAACAACCCAGGAACAAGCGGAACAACCCAGTAACAAGCGGAAATGTGAAGTTATTGTTTTGTAAATAACACATGGGGGCGTTTTTAAGCCTGGTTTCCATATAGCCGTAAGGCTGCCTGCGACTGCCTGCGACTGCTTTCTGCCATCTTCCATCTTCCACCCTTACAGTAGCGCCGGCAAATGGAAACGTTCTGTTTTCAATTGCCTGCGGTATCGGTAACTATGCCGGTAACTAGGTAAAGTTTGAGCGGGAAAAACTGGCGGGCAAAATTCAACAACAAAGCCCTGTTTCAATTGGTTCTTGCACATCACATGATCCGTTTGAACAAAAGAATGCCGCAGGCAGCCGCAGGCAAGGTGTTTCCATTTGTAATTTGTCTGCCGGCGGTACCGGGAGGCTGCCGTAAGAGCCGGGAAAAGTTGAACTCGTTCAACTTTCTCCCGGCTCTCCCGGCAGTCTTACGGCACTTCAAACAGCTGCCTGCGGTACCGTTAGAAAGCGTTTCCATAAAGAATTATCTGCCGGCGATACCGTAGGGATGGAAGATGGAAGATGGCAGAAAGCAGTCGCAGGCAGCCGCAGGCATCCTTACGGCTATATGGAAACCAGGCTTTAAGCCAACTCTCTAAAGTTCGTGTGGGTTAGCACGTGCACTA